TGCAAGACTGAATGGAAATGAATCTTGTGACGAAGAAGCTTGTAGAAATATTGTCACAGTGAATGCGTGATGGAACCAAAGCTAAAGGTGGTTCAAAAAAGACATATGAGATAAATCATAACAAATGTCATTAGAACAGAAATAGTTTGGCCTTCAGTTTGTGGTGAAACATCCTGCCTTATTTTAAAAGTCAAGTGGATATAAAAAGGAGAAAAAATGCTACGGTCTTCATAAGTGACAGATATCTCTTTGTAAGAGCGTAATCTGGTGTTTACGACTGCGGTAATCCTGAACCTATCAGGAGTCGGGCTGCATTAGAACTGACATGGTCTGGTGATTTATATGACAAACACCAGCTTTGTGTTACGTTTTACATTATCGTTATGACAGCTGTAGCTTATGAGCTGGGTGTGCTGCAAGTGATGGAGGGGTCTGCAAGAGACTATTGTGAAATGGAACAGTGTGTTTGTTTTTTTTGCAGGTGTGTGCAAGAAAAGGCAGTGTGTTTAATAAGTCTCTGTGCATTCATGTGCTCAGCTTGTATGTTTCTGTGCTTACGCGTGTGTGTCTCTGCAGCAGATGTGGGTGTTTTCCATTTTCCGCGCAGAGGCTGGAATTGGCCTGTCAGTCTCAGTGAAGTGAGGAGAAGAGGGAGACGACAGGTGTCGGGGTTGTGAAAGAGATGGATGAAAGAGCAAAAGGAGGAGGAGGAAAAAAAGCTAAGTTTGTGCGGCTGATGAGAAAGTTACGCTCTTTACCCAGAAGAAGAAAACACTAATGAGAATGCAGTGGAACAATTTGAGCAATGTGTCAACTAATTTCGCGTTAGCAACAAAACATTCCTCCGCAGGACAAGAGATCGAGGGCTACGTGTGAGTTAAAATGCCACTAGAAAGGTTCCACATGCATAATTAGGAACACCGAGAGGAGATCTATGTTGCTAATTACTGCCATTAAAAAATAAATAAATAAACTGACAAATGGAAAAAAACAAGCATACCTGCAAAATAATCTTTTTTACAGGGTTTGGTTGTTACAAAGTCTTGATTGCAAAAAATTGCATAAAAATTAAGTATCCTCAAAATAAGTAACTGGGGCACTGAGGTTGGTGTAAACAAAAGTCAAAAATGTTCAGGTCTTAAAAACAAGTCCACTGAAAATATGTGAGGCTACCGGCATCCAAATGTTATTGGAGCATTTGAGTACACTTGTAATACGTGTTTAGATGATTATACCTTCACATTATCAGGGGGTTTATGCATATTTAGTGAGTTTTTCTTGTTATTTATGTGTTCTTTATCATTTCTGCACAGTCCTCTTTACATAAGGAAAATAATGTTAGACTTATAATGATTTGTGAAGTAATTCAATAACGTTTTACACTTAAATAAAATAAATAGACCAACAAAACGGCTCTCAAACAATTAATTTATGTGGATTTCTGCATATATTTATTTAAATAACACCTCTGACTGTAAGTGTTGAATTCTTTCTACATAATTTGTACTTATGTTGTATCCAATATTACATTTTGATAAAATGAAGGTTCTGAAATTATTTTTATTAGTACAAATATCATTAAATGATCAAATAATTTTTTAAATATGGCACTAGACACACTAGACACACACAGATACGTTTTATAATGTCAGCATGAATTTATTGCACTTTTTGAACAAAGGTTTGGAGAATATTAGCGGCTCAAACAGAAGGAGTGTGAGAAAGCAGCCCTGTCACAAATCTGTCCTGCTTCAGCTCTGTGGATTTATCAACACACAGCAGTTTGATTGGTGCTATATCAGAGCCAGGGTCAGGTGATAAATTCCACCGTACACTAACATCCGTCAGATAAAAATAAAATCAATGAATCACACATTAGATTTACAAATTAATCCAAGTTGTTCCAAACTGCTCATTCTTCCCAGGCTCAGTTAAAACTACAGGAAGACGTTTGATATAAGAACTACATAAATAATATGTAATTTTTAAAATTAAAATGATATTTAGAAAGAGAAATAGTAACAGTTATAAATGTGAAGAGATTGACTTAAATATTATTTATGTTTGCTGCTTCAAAGGTTTACATTCACCACTGTTTCCACTGAAGCAGCACTGGCAAGAATGAAGCGATGAATCGTCAGGGAAAATACACACCGCCACTTTAACAAAATGAAAAACCGAACATAGTTTACTTTTATAAACATGATGGATGCAAAAAATCCCTTAAGAACAAAAAATAGTATATAGCTTGTTTACTGTGAATTCAGTGTTGCATGCTGATCTTATTTTAAATTTTTGAATTAATAAATCACAATAAAATAACACTCAGGAAGACCTGCTTAGGGCCCCACAATGGCTTGGGCCAAACCTGACCATCCATATCTGATAACAAATCATGAAAAATGCCTTTATTAGGACATTATATATATATATATATATATATATATATATATATATATATATATATATATATATATATATATATATATATATATATAAAGGTCATTCTCAAAAAATTTGCATATTGTGATAAAGCTAATTATTTTCTGTAATGTACTGATAAACATTAGACTTTCATATATATTAGTTTCATTACACACAACTGGAGTAGTTCAAGCCTTTTATTGTTTCTAATATTGATGATTTTGGCATACAGCTCATGAAAACCCAAAATTCCTATCTCAAAAAATTAGCATTTTTTCATCCAACCAATAAAAGAAAAGTGGTTTTAATTTAAAAAAAAACGTCAATCTTCAAATAATTATGTTCAGTTATGCACTCAATACTTGGTCGGGAATCCTTTTGCAAAAATGACTGCTTCAATGCAGCGTGGCATGGAGGCAATCAGCCTGTGGCACTGCTGAGGTGTTATGGAGGCCCAGGATGCTTCGATAGCAGCCTTAAGCTCATAGTGTTGAGTCTTGCATCTCTCAACTTTCTCTTCACAATATCCCGCAGATTCTCTATGGGGTTCAGGTCAGGAGAGTTGGCAGGCCAATTGAGCCCAGTAATACCATGGTCAGTAAACCACTTACCAGTGGTTTTGGCACTGTGGGCAGGTGCCAGGTTGTGCTGAAAAATGAAATCATCTCCATAAAGCTTTTCAGCAGATGGAAGCGTGAATTGCTCCAAAATCTCCTGATAGCTAGCTGCATTGACCCTGCCCTTGATAAAACACAGTGGACCAACACCAGCAGCTGACATGGCACCCCAGACCATCACTGATTGTGGGTACTTGACACTGGACTTCAGGCATTTTGGCATTTCCCTCTGCCCAGTCTTCCTCCAGTCTCTGGCACGTTGATTTCTGAATGACATGCAAAATTTGCTTTTATCTGAAAAAAGTACTTTGGACCACTGAGCAACAGTCCAGTGCTGCTTCTCTGTAGCCCAGGTCAGGCGCTTCTGCCGCAATTTCTGGTTCAAAAGTGGCTTGACCTGGGGAATGCGGCACCTGTAGCCCATTTTCTGCACACGCCTGTACATGGTGGCTCTGGATGTTTCTACTGCAGACTCAGTCCACTGCTTCGGCAGGTCCCCCAAGGTCTAGAATCAGTCCTTTTCCACAATCTTCCTCAGGGTCCGGTCACCTCTTCTTGTTGTGCAGCGTTTTCTGCCACACTTTTTCCTTCCCACAGACTTCCCACTGAGGTGCCTTGATACAGCACTCTGGAAACAGCCTATTCATTCAGAAATTTCTTTCTGTGTCTTACCCTCTTGCTTGAGGGTGTCAATGATGGCCTTCTGGACAGCAGTCAGGTCACCAGTCTTACCCATGATTGCGGTTTTGAGTAAAGAACCAGGCTGGGAGTTTTTAAAAGCCTCAGGAATCTTTTATAGGTGTTTAGAGTTAATTAGTTGATTCAGATGATTAGGCTAATAGCTCGTTTAGAGAACCTTTTCATGATATGCTAATTTTTGGAGATAGGAATTTTGGGTTTTCATAAACTGTATGCCAAAATCATCAATATTAGAAACAATAAAAGGCTTGAACTACTTCAGTTGTGTGTAATGAATGTAATATATATGAAAGTCTAATGTTCATCAGTACATTACAGAAAATGAACTTTATCAATATATGCAATTTTTTTTAGAAGGACCTGTATATATATATATATATATATATATATATATATATATATATATATATATATATATATACATGTATATGTATATATATATATATATATATACATATACATGTATATATATATATATATACATGTATATGTATATATATATATATATATACATATACATGTATATATATATATATATATATACATGTATATGTATATGTATGTATATATATATATATATATATATTCAATTGCTTTTAACATTGTTTTTTTATTTAAAAAAATTCAGGGAGTCCAATAGTTAGTTTTACAGTCTAGGAAAGAACTGGGTGCAAAGCTAACAAGAAAGATGCATTTTGTTTTGTCGTGGTGTGAAGCGTTCCCTGCTGCTCCTTCCCTCCTCAGATTTGCTCCCTAAAGGTCTTGAGGATGCCGGCTATGAATATTTCACCAAACTGCATTCTCAGCTTATCAATTATAAAATGCCACATTCCTATAAATATTCTAAAAATACAGCTGGACTCTGCTCCTTCCTATGTGCATTAAAAATGCATGTCCACCTAGCAAACTGCTAAATCATCCACCACACCAGATCCATGCGGACAAGACTGCTGGAATGTCAGCAGGTGTTCTCACTTTCAAGGGTTTCTATTTGCATTTGAGAGCTTGTTTGTTTCGTTTCCAGGAAATCTAATGTTTTTGAAATATTCTTTATTTCTTTCGGCATCTCAGACAACTTCTTAGGAAACTTGGAAAATACCAGAAGAGGTGATAAACACTGTCAACACTGAATCAGAACAGGCAAGGTACTGACAGTACACACTGTTACACTGAAACTTAAAGTGGCCTTTACATACATGCACACATAAACACATCATGTCTTTTGCCCTGCTGGTACCATGCACATGTCTATGTACTCACCGAGGTGAGATGTCACAGCCTTGTTGCATGAAGGCTCCCAGAGAAAACCACAGCGAGTTGAAGATGCCAAACTCATTAGGAGGCTGGTCAGTGGGGCCCTGCTCGGGGGCCCCCTCCTCTGGTTCCTCTGCGTGCCACTCATATGGGCTAAAGCGACTCACCTTGGAAAGAGGAGAAAGAAAAGGGGTGACACAATTTTCTGATTAGGGAGGATTAAAAAAAGAGAAGAAGTAGAAAGAGTAGATTAAAGGTTAACAAGCTCAGTTTGAATGATGCAGACTCATTGACTTCCTGTGCCAATGTAGAAACCGAAGATTTGATTGGATGAAATATTGAAATCCACAAAAAACCCTTTAAAAGCTGAGTGAGGCAGCTTTTATATAGATGATAGATGCAAAAAATTCCTTAAGACCAATAATAGTATATAGCTTGTTTACTGTTAATTCAGTAAACCTAACCCTAACCCTAACTCTTCTACAAAAACTAAATGGATAAAAAAAGGTGACGAGTCCTTTTACCTCATGTAAAAAAAGAAAATGTCTACATCCATATCCACACGCTTTACTATCAGCGTATGTGATATTCTGACTTGATCTTACACCAGTGAAAGCATTTTAATATTTTATATTCATGCTTGCATATCTTGTATGCTGCAGTTCATGGTGGCATTAAAATAAGTTTAAAAAATGGCCTTAAGACTCAAAAAATTAGACAAAGTGAGCAAAAGGGGAGAAAACTGATTTGGTTGTTATTTATTTATTTATTTGAATGGGGAACTACTACCAGTTCCCTATCAGCCAAGCGTAGGGTCCTTGATGAAGGTGGAGCAGTTCCTTGAAGAGCCTTATACAGTAGAAGTTAGCACCTTGAAATTTGCCCTGAAGTGCACCAGGAAACTGTGCAGAGATGCTAGCACAGTTTCCTGGTGCACTTCAGGACACAATTGGTGAGTTTCAACTGACAAGGAGCACTGACACCGATTAACAAACCAAAGCGTCTCTTCAGTTGGGTCATTTGCAGGATGTGCTGCTCAGATCCAGTGGTTAGAGCTGTGTATGCCAACTCATCCACAGTGTAAATATGTTAGCCTGGCCTGCCAGACTCCTCCGAGTTTGTCATAAACATGGCGACTGAGGCGGAGTTCGCTGCAGCTTTTTCCTCTGTTAAATGACTTGGACGCGTCTTTAAAACCACAACAAGTAGAAGCGCTAAAACCCTTTCTTCTAAAGAAAGATGTTTGCGCTGTCGCCAGACACCATTTTTGACTACAGCTAAAAAAACTACAGCGTTGCAGATGTCACATACAGCGACGCTCAGTTTCTCATAAACAACAAAGACAGTTCACTGGAGCTCTTTACTCTGTTCTAAATTACTTGAATGTCTTTAAAACCACAACAAGTAGAAGCGCTAAAAGTATTTTTTCTAAAATAATAAATGATGTTTGCGCCGTTGCCAGACGCCTTTTTTTTTACTACAGCGTTGCGTGGTCCAGTCAGCATTTCAGTCTTTTTTCTGATTGCTTATTTTTGAGCTGGCTAATCCCGCCCCTCAAGTGCCTCTCTGCCTGTGAGCTACCAGACTCTGTCTGTGCAGAATTAAACAGAGAACGAGTCTGGCAGGCCAGGCTATAAATACGTAGCTTAAATGCTGAGTCTATGTGTGGTCTGACAAAACAAAATAAAGTCAGTGAATCCATCAAACATCTTACATTTCAAGCCATGCTGTGACATTTTAAAGACTCTCCTGCACATTTATAATGTTAGCTGTTAATATGACCTTAAACGTAGATCACTATGACAGGTGAGTCCTCCTCCTCTACATTTAAGAGAGAAACTCTTCTTCATCACTATTAGCTGGGTCGTATGTCTGTTGACTGGAAAGAAGTGAGGCCAATAAAAACAAAGCTGCATGCATAGCAAGAAAGGGGATGGGTGCAGAGAGCTGAATAGGAAATTAATGGAGTGATTAAGTGGAATTAAAATAAAGATTTTGACAACAAATATAAAGGAGAATAAATCACAAAAAGCTATTATAAAATACAAAACAAATGTTTAATAGAGCTAGCAATATCAGAATGCCTAGGTCCTGGAACAGCAGCCTTCAGGGCAAGGACTGGCCACCCTGTTCTAGATAAACATGTTGATTGATGATGGATTGAAATGTGATTCTTAAAGCTGCAATTGCAAATCTTCTTAACACAGAACTCCCACCCCTCCAGTCGGCTCTCTTCCCGGGGCTATGTCTGGCTAATATCGGAACGTGCATTTCTAGAGTAGATGAGAGATAGCGCTAAACACCAGTGGCTGTTTTCTAGGTCCAAACATCTTTTGTTGTCCATGATTTCAAATGGTGTTTTTCTTTTTGGGACTCTCAAAGTTTGTCCTATAGTTGAAGTGGTAGCAGCCGTTTCTCCTTCTCTGATATTACTGAGTGGAGAACCTCACACTCCAGTGGTGTTCTGTTGCCAAATGTGTAATGAAAGGAGGACTCAGCTAATGTGGTGGTTCAGTGAGATTGACAACTGGATGGTCCAGTTGCTGGTTTGAGACTGAACTGTGTTGCTGTCATAAGTTTAAATGCGGTTTTCATCCCTGACCCCAAAGCTTTGGTAACTCTAGAACAATCACCTGCATTCCAGAGTCATCAACAAGTTGTCTAATTTGTAGCCTTCACTCACCAAAAAAAGAACAACACTGACTCCAATATAAGCAAACACGATGCACATCCAAATCTCATAGGCCAGTGGGTCAAGGAAGGAGAAGACACCCGGTTTAGACTTCTGAGGCTTCTTGATCATGATGGAGATTCCCAGAGACATGAAGGGTTTGGAGAAGTCAATCACTTCCTCCCTCACAAGTGTGATGGTCAGAGGGGCAACCGCAATTTCTGCTTTCTGCAAAGAAAATCGGGGGGAGGAAGTTCAGTCCAGCCGCATTATAACATAATTAATTCTTCAGAGAGTATATAAAAGTGTGACACAGCGAAAAAAGGAAGCACATAGGACCACTGCTGCAGGAGAAGAACAAATCAGGAGAGAAAGGTTGAGAGAAAATGGAGAGGTCAAGCTGGAATGACAGAGGGGCAATTCATATGGCACGTCAGCCTCAAAGTGACACATCAAGAATATGAATTAGTCAGCGAGGTCCAACAAATGGCTGCACACACACACAGACACACAGACACACGCACACACACGCACACACGCACACACACACACACACACACACACACACACACACACACACACACACACACACACACACACACACACACACACACACACACACACACACACACACACACACACACACACACACACAGAGGTTTCTGCAACACAGCGTTTATTAAAATTAAGTCTAAATATTTAGTCATATTTGAAATGAGCTTTAATAATTAATTAGTGCAAATCAGTTCTCAGTTGAATAAATAGAATCAGCTTTTTAAAAAAGACAAAAAAAGTACATTAGATAAAACGTTACAACTAAAATTCCTCTTTTATAAACAACTCTGCAGTTCCTGATGTTTCTAACATTATCATATGTCACTAATAAAAACTGTGTTGTATTTTTAAAATCTAAATTATGCTGTTTGATCAGATGAACATCCCACAGCACTCCTGTCCTCTTGAGTAATAAGTGTAACGAGTGTGTCCTGTTCCAAAGTGCAATAATATGATTTATTGTAGATTAAAAAATTACAAATATCATCTCAAATGTATTCTTTTGCCCTCTAAAATCCTAAAAAGGTGAACAAGTGCATTTTCATCCCATCTGAAGAACAAATGTAACTCTCAATTAAAACAACAGAACCCCTGTTTGGAATAAAAAAGTCTTTGAAATGCTAATATCGTCATTACTTTTCAGATTTTACTACATTTAAATGAACTTCACAAGCAGTTGTCCTGAAAAGAAGAATAATGCATGTTAAGTATTTCTCCATGTGATCAAAGACAAAATATTAGTGGTTGGTATTTTTTTTACATTATATTAAAATTATTCTGCTATTCACAAAAATGCTTCAGATGTTTTTATAATAGAATAAGAAACCTGAAGCTGTTATTGCAGCTGCATGGTGGCTTTGGTTCATTTTTCTAAAGTGAAAGGCAATGAACTTGTTACTTTGAGAAAACAGTAGCTTCTATGTGAGGTTTTTAATCACCTGAATGTTTCATAAAGTTAGCGAGAACATCACAGAAGCGTGTTTTTGTAAATGACTGAAGAGTTGAGTGAACGGAAGAAATTAGAAATTGTTCCATCAAGTGATTAATTTCAATTCAGTTTCCAAAGTGACAAACAATATATCAAACCTGAAGCTTTCATTGGAGAAAAAGTAAAGAGGAGACATAAAATCATTACAGCCAAGAAAGAAAAAAGAAATAAAGAGCTGAAATAAAGTAATTTTCTGTGCTTGACAGAAGATTTAAAAACCATTTAAACCTGAGCCAATCTGTTACAAGTTCTGATTTAGTCTTTATTCAGCAACTACTTTCATTTTACTCAAAGTAACAATTAAGCTGCAATATGAAATCTCCTATAATTAAAGGTAATTAATATATTTGGCTTAAATCCATAAATGAGCAGCATTTCATTGGGAAATTATCATTTTGTAGTTAGTAGGGATGCAATTGCTCTGAAGCTGGGCAGCCGGTCTGACTGAGACAGTTTCCCTGTCATGAAAACACTTTGTGATAAAAACCATTAGAAAAGTAGCAATTATTTAATGTATTTTTTTTTTATAATTGTCTCTTTTGCCGAACTTGACAAACATAGAGGCAGGAGGCATCCTGACCAGATGCCCAAACCACCTCAACTGATTCCTTTCGAGGAGGAGCAGTGGTTCTACTCCGAGTCCCTCCCAAATGTCCGAGCTCCTCACCCTATATCTAAGGCTGAGCCCGGCCACCCTACGGAGGAAACTCATTTTGGCCGCTTGTATCCGCAATCTCGTTCTTTCGGTCATTACCCAAAGCTCATGACCATAGGTGAGGATTGGGACGTAAATCGACCGGTAAATCGAGAGCTTGGCTTTCTGGCTCAGCTCCCTCTTCACCATGACAGATTGGATCAGCATCCGCATCACTGCAGATGCTGAACCAATCCACCTGTCGATCTCCCGATCCCTCCTACCCCCACTCGTGAACAAGGCCCCAAGATACTTAAACTCCTCCACTTGAGGTAGGACCTCTCCCCCGACCCGGAGTTGGCAAACCACCCTTTTCTGGTCGAGAACCATGGTCTCAGATTTAGGAGGTGCTGATCCTCATCCCAGCCGCTTCACACTCGGCCGCGAACCTACCCAGCAAGAGCTGAAGGTCAGAGCTGGATGAAGCAAGGAGGACCACATCATCCGCAAAAAGCAGAGACGAGATTCTCCTGCCACCAAACTCGTCACACTCCACACCACGGCTGCGCCTAGAAATTCTGTCCATAAAGGTAATGAACGGAACCGGTGACAAAGGGCAGCCCTGGCAGAGTCCAACCCTCACTGGGAACAGGTCCGACTTACTACCGGCTATGCGGACCAAACTCACGCTCCTCTGGCAAAGGGACTGAATGGCCCTTAACAGAAAGCCGCCCACCCCATACTCCTGGAGCGTCCCCCACAGGGTGCCCCTGGGGACACGGTCATAAGCCTTCTCCAAATCCACAAAACACATGTGGATTGGTTGGGCAAACTCCCATGCCCCCTCCATCACCCTTGCAAGGGTATAGAGCTGGTCCACAGTTCCACGGCCAGGACGAAAACCACATTGCTCCTCCTCAATCTGAGATTCAACTATTGATCGGACCCTCCTCTCAAGTACCTTGGAGTAGACCTTTCCAGGGAGGCTGAGGAGTGTGATCCCCCTATAGTTGGAACACACCCTCAGGTCACCCTTCTTAAAGATGGGGACCACCACCCCGGTCTGCCACTCCACAGGAACCGCCCCCGATGACCATGCAAGACGTGTCACCCATGACAGCCCTACAACATCCATAGCCTTGAGATACCCAGGACGAACCTCATCCGCCCCGGGGCTCCGCCGCTGTGTAGTTGTTTGACTACCTCAGCAACTTCTGCCCCTGAGATTGGACAGTCCATCCCCAGGTCTCCCGGCTCTGGTTCCTCCTCGGAATGAGCATAGGTGGGATTGAGGAGCTCCTCAAAGTATTCCTTCCACTGTCCGACTATAGCCCCAGTTGACGTCAGCAACTCCCCATCCCCACTGTAAACAGTGTGAGCGAGTTGCTGCCTTCCTCTCCTGAGGCGCCGGACAGTTTGCCAGAACCTCTTTGGAGCCGATCGATAGTCTTTCTCCTTGGCCTCACCAAACTCCTCCCACGCCTGAGATTTTGCCTCGGCAACTGCCACTGCTGCAATCTGGTACCTGTCTGCTGCCTCCGGAGACCCACAGACCAGCCATGCCCTGTAGGCCTCCTTCTTCAGCCTGACGGCTCCCCAAACCTCTGGTGTCCACCAGCGGGTACGGGGGTTGCCACTACGACTGGCACCGGCCACCTTGCGACCACAGCTAGCAACAGCCACCTCAACAATCGCAGAGTGGAACAAGGCCCACTCGAAGTAAATGTCCCCCACTGCTATCGGGACACAGTCAAAGCTCTGCCGGAGGTGGTAGTTGAAGATCGTCTTAACAGGTTCTTCTGCCAAGTGCTCCCAGTAGACCCTCACTATGCGTTTGGGCCTGCCAGGTCTACGCGGCATCTTCCCCTGCCATCTGATACAACTCACCACCAGGTGGTGATCAGTTGACAGCTCCGCTCCTCTCTGCACTCGGGTGTCCAAAACATACGGCCGCAGGTCAGATGATACGGCTAGAAAGTCTATCATCGACCTGCGACCTAGGCTGCCCTGGTACCAAGTGTACCGATGGGCATCCTTATGTTCAAACATGGTGTTCGTTATGGCCAAACTGTGGCTTGCACAGACGTCCAATAATGAAACACCACTTGAGTTCAGATCAGGCGGGCCATTCCTCCCAATCTCACCCCTCCAGGTCAAGCGGTCATTGCCCACATGAGCATTGAAGTCCCCCAGCAGGACAATGGAGTCCCAATGGGTACTCTGAACTGATATTTGGCCCATAAGCACAAACAAGAGTCAGGACCCGTTCCCCGACCCAAAGGCACAGGGAAGCTACCCTCTCGTCCCCCCGGGGTAAACCCCAACACACAGGCAGAGAGTCTTGGGGCTAACAAAAAGCCAACCCTAGCCCTCCGCCTCTCACCTGGAGCAACTCCAGCAAAGGAGAGTGTCCAACCCTCTCAAGGACTTGGGTTCCAGAGCCAATGCTATGTGTCGAGGTGAGTCCGACTATATCTAGCCGGTACCGCTCAACCTCTGCCACAAGCTCCTGCTCCTGCTCCTTCACCGCCAGCGAGGTGACGTTCCATGTCCCAAAAACCAGTTTTCTTGTCCGGGGATCAGACCGCCAAGTCTCCCGCCTTGGTCTGCCACCCGATTCACATTGCACCGGACTCTTCATGTTCCTCCTGCGGGTGGTGGGTCTACAGTTGGATGAGCCCATGTATCCGGTCTGTCTTACGGTTTCTTCTAATTTGGAAATACCCATAAAGCTTGCAAACGATGGTAGGAAGCATCCAAATCAGAAACTTGGAACACCTCAGCTGACTCCTTTAGATGTAGAGGAGCAGCTGCTCTACTTCAAGCTGCACTGTGTTTCTAGGAAACCCTCATCAGTTGCTTGGATCTTACATCTTTGCTTTTTGATCTTAATCTTGTGACTATGGGTAAGGGTTGGATTATATCTGGAGCAATACATCAATAACTTTGGCTCAGTTTCCTTCTGCACAACAGACAGGAGCAGTGCCGTCATTATTGCTTATGAAACCCAATGATCCATCTCTTGCCCCATTCCAGCTGCACTTACAAACAAGACACCAAGATAATTAAACTTCTTCACTTCAGGCACCGACTCATTCCCAGGATGTTTCTGTATTTTCTTGTAATGTTGCATCTCCAGCCTGGTGGGAGACGGTATCAAAATATGACGCTCTCACTAATAAAAAACAGAACAAACGCCATTTTCATCCTTACCCCATACACAAGCTCGCCAACCATGCCATTCCATATCTTTGTCTCAGAATCTCTGGCGCCGTACTTTCCATCTGGCACTATAGAAATCTTGTACTTAATTCCGATGTGTTTGGCGATCTCTGAAGCCAAGTCCACGCAGTATCCCTCATACTGGTCATTGCCTTCATAGAGCTCCCAGTTCTTCTTCAGCATCACATATGGACCCTCCTGGAAAACCAGCAAAAGGGGAGAAAGACAGCTGTTTGGAGGAACATGTCAGCAGCAATCCAGGGAAAACAGCAGCTTGAATGGGAACATTGTACATAGGAAAAACCATGAAGTAAAAAAAAAAAACAAATGTTCATGTTTTAAATGAATCAAGAAGGAATGTTTCTCATGCTGCACCTTCTGCACTGTAACTGCTCAGCCTTTAACTTTGCCCTTTTATCTTATTCTTACATTTAATTTAGTTTTTTTTTATTTTTAAGTGTAAGTGGCTGGGGAGAGGGAAGACTAACCCCCAAATTCCACTACCTCCGCTCCGCCCCGCCCCGCCCCCGCCTTCCGCAGCCGCTCGCTTCCGAACTCAATTTTTACTGGTACCCGCTCTACAACGGCTCCGCTTGGGTGCGAAGATCTGAGGTGCGCAAACAAGCATGCGCGGGATTTACGAGATCTTGCGATACAGTCCGAGCAATAAACACAGAAGTTAGATCCAAAAGCCCGTTGTGTGGGAGAAGCATCGAAATGAACTGTTTAATCTGCCCATCATTTGTGTTGAGAGATCAGCAGTGTTTGGATCAACAAAGTGTGACTACTTTGATAGTGGAAACTGTATTTATGGCTTTTTTTTGTGCATTTAAAGTTCAGTCGCCATTGATAGTTGTTAAAAGTTGTTAAACCTGTGCATATGAAACAAAAAACTCCTTTTGCTTATCGATTTATTGTGAAATAACGGAAGCTGTGCTCGCTCCCTTTCCTGTTGGGCGGTTGTGATTCCTGTCCATTGACTGCGAAGGTGCTCCGGCGTCGGGCAAAAATAGGATCGATTCTATTTTTGACAGATGACGGAACAGAGGGCGGCGCACTGCGCCGCACTGCCGCAGTAGTGGAATAGCTCTGATTGACTACAACAGGACCGATTTTGCTGCGGAGTTCGTGCCGGAGCAGAGCGGAGCGGAGGTAGTGGAATTCGGGGGTGAGCCTCCCTGCTTAGGCTACTGCCCCCACGACCCGACCCCAGATGAGTGGCCAAAAATGGATGAATGGATACTCATTTATTTCATTTTAAAATCTGCTGTTCTATGCTGTCACATTGATTTTAATGTTTTTACTCAGCAGTAAGAATGGATAACTCCTCAGATTAACTGGTACTGGCATTATCCTGTTACACAATAACATCAATGCAATATTCACTATGTGTTCAATACTTGTGCAATAGTATGTGTGTGGCCTCCTGTTGCATAGGTCTGGAAACCTATGTTTTCCTATTCATTTGTTGTATTTAGTGGTTAAAGGTTAAAATAATAGCTTTTTGCCTTTGTGTGTTTACCTTCCTTTTTCTAAGTGTATGTGCTATTCTATTCTATTCTATTCATGAGCTTGCTGTTCTTGCTCCAGGAAAGCAAGATGGATTGTTTCTGTGTGCAAAATGTTCTATACAAATAAAGCAGCCTGGCCTCATATGAAAAATGACAACCCACTGCTGATTAAATTAGGCAAAATTAGAGCTAGATTTCAAAAAAGAAGTGTCAAAGTCTGATGTTTTATGTCTTTAATGTCTGACTTTCAGAGTCTTCATCTTATTCTACCCAACTCCACTGGGTCCCCCACTAGACTCACAAACTGAGAAGATACTGTAGAAGTGAACAAAAATCCAACAGAAAACAAAGATGAGGCTTGTATGGTGAAAGGTACACAGATTCTTGTGCATGTAGGTAAAAGATTAATGAAAAATATGGAACTAAACAAACACCTTACTGCATGTTGGAGATTTATACGTAAAGAAAAGAAACGCAGACTGTTGTAAATGACAGCGCATCCTTCAGAAGCAGAATTATGGTTCTACGCTCGGGGCTGCTCCCTCTGATCCACACCAAAGTCTGGCTATTAAAATCTTATCCAGCTCTTTTTAATCAGACTAATCTCATCTAATTAATCAAACAGGCCTTTATAATACTCATGAAGCAGTTTATGGAGATGATAAAACACAACAACACCATAACATTCTTCAAATTGAGCTGCTCAGTCAGTTTTCTGTTCAGAACAGTTTAATCAAAGAGAATTTTCACACTAAAAACAGTCAAACAAGCAATGAAATCACTCCGGCAGAGATTCAAGAAGAATCTGCAGAAGGATCTTCAATCCAGGAAATTAAATTAGACCCAAAGCAAGTCCCGCTCAGAGGCAGGCAGAATGATTAAAACCACCTTACAATGAGAGATAAACACTACCAGCAAAACCAACAAGGGTTTAGGAATCCATCCTGAACCACTCACATTCGTGTTTGCAGGGAACTAGGGCAAAGTTTCTGTTAATTAATTTGAATAAAGTTAGTTTTTAGGTACAAATGTTTCCTGACAAACATTACTAAAGAAATATTTAGGATTTGATTCTCTGAAAATCTCGCATTGTTTCAGTCAGATTTTGGGTTTTGTGTAGTGTTCATTTATCAAATGTTAAACATCTTTCTAAGTTGAGTGATTTTTTGTTTAAGAAAATGAATAACTTACATGTTGTAAATAGCTCTTTGAACAACTGCAGTTTGGAGAAAAGGAATTAAATTCTGACTAGACTGATGAGCTAACTGCTAGTTCAAGTTAATATGGACGAACCCTCCTTGCCGTCACCCATAGATTTCTGAAGAGCTGAGTTGAGGCCTGTTGGGTGGTTCCCACCACCAAAATCTTGGCCATGTCGCGCGTCTCGTCACTCCCATAAAATACAAAAAAGCAGCTGAGAGTGAGGCTGCGAAGGTGGGGGCAGATGATTGACATCCATCAAACTCTAAGCGGATGTAGCTACAAGCTAATTGAAGCTAACGGTAGTTGACGGATGCTTTTAGCCAGAAAACTGCAGTTGAGTTACTCTGCCACCCTCTGCCTTCTAGGCTGTAACGCTTTTACTGTGAGGTTGAGGCTGAAGCCTTCCTTGAAGCAAGCAGGAGGCAAGTCGCTAGCACTAGCACTGACGGCTCATCTGCTACCTGTTGATCAAAGGACATACCCCTAAGTATTCATAATTTCAAGCTTTAATTACAGATGAGTTCCAAAAAAATCACCCCCTCAGAGTTGTCATGACTTGACCTATTAAACCCAAAATGTTTTGAAGTTGGCATTTTTAACATGGAAGTCAATGGGAACTTGCCCCTTTTTGGATCCAGCCCCAATGGAGGAGGGAGGAACTGCATTTCTATCACTTCTGTGTTGGCTTCAATTTTGGCAGCCAGAGTTTTCCTCTTGGTCAAGACTAAAGATGAACACGGCCATTATAAAATGAGACCAACACCCCCATCTATTCAGATGTTAGAGTTGAAATGGCACACATCCACTTTGGTCTTGGCCTGCTGTGATTAGCTGTTTGTCATTTTGGTCAGAACATTCTGTTCATGCCAAACTGAAGTTGTTCAGCGCCATCTACAAGTATGATTTTTCATAACTTTTCCATAAAACTCACCAACGTACGCCTAAAATATCCATCCATATATTGCACTAATACAAAAAATATGCCATTGAAAAATTACCCTTAGGTCACTAGCATGCTACATTTAGCTGAATCCAGCATTGTTTTAAACATATTTCACAAAGCTATTTGCATGATTTCAAATAGCAATAGAATTGATATAAAAATAAAACAATAATCACTTTTTGTTTGTTATGTTGTTTGCATGTTTTGAAATTGCACAGCCATTTAATCTAATTATACCAAATAAATGTAAGGAAAAAAAAATCACTTCCCAAAACTTTCATATGAGATAAAAGAAAAGACAAAATCCCAGAAAAATAAACCATAATCAAATCCATCAGTCTTACATGTTAAAAAAACAGAATAAAATAAAGATATTTTTCCCCTTTGACACTTTACATCAACACCGTCTTTGCCATTAAAAGAAACAAGATCACTCCTTTTGTTAAATGTCGACACACACACAGATTTCTCCCAAAATGTCATTACTGGACACTCTAGCAGCGCCTGAGACTTATTTTATTGACTCAACATGAATTATAATGTTAATTTACATCAGAAAAAGAACAACAGTAAATGCCCTCTTAAAACTACAAAGAGCCATCAACACAGTAAGCTGATACAAAAGAACAAAAATGCAATATCCTTTTAAGATCAGTGAATTAGAAATTAGAACCAAGTAAACTGTTTAATTTTATTTGCGCAAATAATTTAGTTGATGATTGCATATTTTCCTTTTTCTGTTCTGACAATATGCAATTACAACAAGGAACCTGCTCCCAGCTTGGTTAATAATAAATATCCTGATGTCCCGCTGACATATTTTACACTTGATTTTCTAGCGATCCCTGCAGATTTCATCTTGTGCATTTAAAAGGGTAAAAATGAATGGTTTGATCCTTTTTCTAAAAACTGCAAAACAACATCAACTCAAAAAAAAAAAAAAAAGAAATCATAATAAAGGCAAGGACTGGACCAAAGTCATAAACAAACAAACAAATAAAAATGTATAAATATTGTCTCACTTTTTTCTGTACAATTGTTTTACAGATAAATAAAAAGTTACATTCTTAGACATTAAATTCGATAAATAAAAACCTTTTACTGGCGAGGTAACTCAATGGTTTTGAGTCCACATACAGTACCTCACCTTGAGGGCTTCTGTCATTTAAAACAGGTGTGTTAAAAAACAATAAAAGCTAAAAATTGTAGGATGGAAGCCTGAAGGAAAGGAGTTGGAATCTTGTTGACCGAGCTTAAAATAAACAAACAAATAAAAAACATTAAAAAATGAGAAGTTAGCAAAATATATATTTTTATGTTATTTTTTGTCAGTAATAACGTTGTGTTTTTTAAATAATCATGTTCTAGATACCAGAGCTGGGGTGCATGTATCTCTCTGTGAAGTAGCTGTTTGTGCATTAATTTTAAGCTCCTGGGGTGAAATAATCATCATCGTCTCTCAGAGTTGCTTAATTTGGCATCTTGAGGCAGACTCGGGCAGAAAAAGACATGAGAGGAGGTGAGAAGAAAAGAAAGAATAA